CCAATCGAAAGCGCGTATCATGGGTTTCATTTCTGTAGTATAAGTTTCATTGAGTTCCCCGCCTTAAAATTGCTATAAAAAGCAAATAACTGTTTGACTTATCATAGCTGTTTGCTTCCAAATGAGCTTATCTTGAGATGTGCGGAATGGAATTCAATATTGTTACAATTTGGATGACGCAACAAGAATTTCTACAGAACCAATAGTAAAGCCAAGAATTCCTAAGGGCTTGATCGTGTCCGGTGTGTTGATCATTCATACATATTGTTATATCTACATTAATCAGTTTTTTTTGGTTCCTCCTGAAAAATTCGCTTAAACCTTGATACGTGGAACTGGCTCTTATAAGGCGTTTTCAAAGGTCTGTCTGTCCATTTGGAAGTACAGGCCATAATTATAATATATAATAAGACGTCACACAATAGTTGTGTAGCAGATTACCACAAGCTGTTGAGAGAGTAGTTTAATAGTATGTGACCACACTGACTGACTGACCTCCATTAAATCTCTCTCTCTCTCTCTCTCTCTCTCTCTCTCTCTCCCTTTGCTCGTTCGAACTTAGGTTTCATAAAATTTCAGCCTATAAATAAATCGACATGGACGTAATGACACGTGCCGTGATAGAAGTGAATTCTGCCCTTGCAGTCTTGCAAGGCATGTGGAACGAGTCCGATCTAACAGATCTATAGAACTTATCAGAGTTAGGTCATTTCGAAATGAAGCCAGCTTTGTCCCTCAAATGGCAATGACATACCCACTTGACAGTTGGACTACCTGACTAGTAACAGCATTATGAATCGTAGAATTGTATTATTTGAGTGTGAAAAATGTTGGTTCGTTCACTTAGACATATTCATTCCTTTTTTCAAACAGCTTCTCAAATGTTATTACATATATCAATTTGAGTGAGCGTTAGAATATGATAAATTAGCTTCTTGCCTCGAACATAAAATTGTACTTGACTAATTATTGGAGCATTTTGCATAATGTCAAGGCCGCAACTGCGTAATTAAAATATTATGGAGAAAGCCGCAACTGGCCTTCCGTTGTCTTTTCTTAATTAAAAATCAATTTATTCATCCCTGTCCTCTGAGATCACAACACTGGGCTGACTGACCCCACGGCCAAGAAGGATTTGAATTTACACCTGCCCTGCCCTGTGAATTTTTCACATCTTTCGAAATCAAATAAATTTTG